CAAGGGAATGATGGTTTGGTGGTCCATCAGTACATGGACGGGGTAGTTATAGATGATATCTCTGAAATGTCTGAGTGCCCACACGACAGCCAGCGCTTCATGCTCGGTTGTCGAATAATTCTTTTCAGCTTTAGAGAGGACGCGGCTTGCATATGCAATGGCATGTTCTTTTCTGTCGCTAGTTTGAGCGAGTACGGCACCTAACCCAATGTTACTGGCGTCGGTAACTAAAATGAACGGATTGGTGAAGTCTGGGAACTTGAGAACGAGAAAAGATATCCGGGCTTCTTTGAGCGTTTGAAATGCTTTCTCTTGATCAGTTGTCCAAACGAACGGAATGTCTTTCTTAAGGAGGTGAGTGAGAGGAGATGCAATCACTGAATAACTGGCAATGAAATGGTGGTAAAATCCAGCTAGGCCTACAAACTTTTGTACAGCTTCAGCATTATGAGGGACTGGGTCGTTCTTGACAGCTTCTATCTTTGAATCTAGAGTGGTGATGCCTTGTGAGGTGACGTTATGGCCGAGAAACTGTATTTTTTTTTCACATGAAGGCGCATTTGCTAAGTTTGATTTTCAGATTGGCTTCAGCTAGTTTCTGAAGGACTCGGTCCAAATTTTGGAGATGTGACGGTACATTCTTGGACATGATAATGAGGTCATCGAGGTAGACTGTTACGGACCCGAGCCCAGCGTCCTAGCACGGAGCGGTGACGACAACACCATCTGTGGGTCAGCTCCCGAAACCCCCTCCAAATGGACGGCGCCATCTAGTGAGGACAGGATATACCGGCCACAGGGGCTGGTTTCCCGTCTTGATCAGCTAGTAACGTAGCCGCTGCTGACCTCTGGTGAGGTGGCGCTTAGACAGCAACGCCATCTATGGAGTGGATAGGTGGACGTTTGTGTCTAAGCCGGTAAGTGAGGTGCCCTAGAGTGTAACTAGTACTGATGACGTGTCTGATTACAGAGTCGACCTGGGACTGCTGTATTGGACGTTGGATCAGTCTACCCCAGGCAGCCATAGTATCTCCACGTGTTTGCTGCAGCAGCTGTGAGTCACCCCCGGATGAACACTGTTGTGTTAGCCTGCCTGTGAGGTGGCAGAACCAGGAATTGTCGTACCCGGGGCTGACTGGTGGAGAAGACTAGCCACTGGGGTGTTGTTGAGGGAGGAGAGTGATATGTGGAATCACACGAGGCTCCTGTCCAGGGCTCACAACCCTAGTATCGGTCGTGGAGTGGCCTACGCAGCAGAGCTGATTGGAACCTGCCAGCTACAGGCTGGATTTGTGGTTGAAGGCCTCCACGACGGTGCACCTAGTGGGACTGTGATTTGGCTGGCCTGTGGCCAGGGTAGACTCGCCTAGGGAATCGAAGGATTCATCGTGAGGCCACAACAAGAAAACCAGGGCTACTCGTCTTGAGCACCGTGAAACATTCTGAGTCTTCAGAAGAAGAAGAAGTTATTGTACATAAGTGTAGTCATAGTAAACGCGTGTGACGGTTTATATATTTATTTATGGTGGTGGTGTAATAATATATTTAATTTAGTGTAATTGTATCCATTCCCCTTTAATTTACTTGCATTACGGAACACACCCCTTGAAAGCCACTACCAACTTGGGGCCGGATACCCAAACTCTAATAACATCAGAGAAAGAACCCAGTTGCGACCCAATAGGGCCGTAACATAGACCATGAGGTTATTTCCTGTCATTTGTCGGAACAGGTCTGTCAAAAGCCTTGAGAAGGTAATAGGGCTGCTGTGTAAGCCAAAAGGCATGCGGGTGTACTGGTAATGACCATTAGGGACGGAAAACGCCGTCAGTTCCCGACTTTCTGGATCGAGTGGTATTTGCCAAAATCCTTGCAATAAATCAAGTGTGCAAAAAACCTTATTCTGACCTATGTTCTGCAATAAGTCAGTAAGCACGGGAAGTGGAAATCGATCAGGAATCGTAACTTGATTAAGTTTCCTGAAATTAACGACAGGACGCCAAGAGCCATCCTTCTTGGGTACTAAGATTAACGGAGCATTCCATGGTGAAGTACTTTCTTCAATAACGCCATCATGTAACATCTCGTCAATGAGTCGGTCTGCAACAGCTCGTTAAGAATGAGGCAATCTGTATGCGGGTACAAAAATTGGGCGAGTACCTGGTTCCAGTGGAATTTTGTGAGTAATGAGGTGTGTCAATCCAAGTTGTTCACCTGTCAGTGCAACAACGTTGCGATGCTTGTTGAGGATGGTCAGTAACTGAGATTGGGCGTCAGGGAAGTCAGTGGGGCTAAGATGCACAGGTGAGATCGCGATCTGATGTCGATTTGTTGTGTGAGAGAGTGCATGTACCATTTGGTCAGTAGAGACCTCATCCACTACTCGCACCGGTAATGAATAATGGGCGTTGGCAACATAAACAGCAGTAGTGTTATTCTGCACCTGATGTAAGGACGGTTCTATGTAGGTACCATTGATTTGACATGTGTCACTGTCAGCTATAACGTGTTCTAGGTCAGATACACCAGGTATTTTGACAATAACCTTTGTTAGTGCACGAGAATGTAGGACTGTGTCTTGGTGTAAGATGCCTCTGACCTGACTGATGTTAGACTCCAGGCAAGTAAGGTAATGAACAATCGCTGGGGCCCCTTGCAAAGATTCATTGACCTCACCGACCTGCGAGACTGTGGAAACGTGCGTTGGTCTGGTGTAAGTAAGTGAATGCGTGACGGGTTTGTTTGGGCGTGACTGGTTAAGTGTAACCTGGTCTCCCCTGGATTGTATGTACCTGACATAGTCCCAATGGTTGGTGAACTCATGTCCCATGGTGTACACACTGCAAAGAGGTACTACTGTATCACCAATTGTTGCTTCCCAATGGTAAGCATCGATAGTAACTCGGTAGTCTCTCATGGTGATTATTCCTAGTAAAATATCTCCAGGGAATCGTACTGCACCAGCTATTACACATGGCACGGTGAGTGATCTGTCATTAACTATTAACTCTATGTCTGTTTCACCTAACGCCGGAGTCATTCCTCCAGTAAGTCCACCAAGGTTGGAAACAGACGACTGTCGTATATCGAGTCGGTCGCGTAGGCCATGAAGGGCATCTTGATGTTGACTCTAGCTCTGTGTCTAGGAAAATCCTAATTAACATGTCGACCCTTCAAAGTGGCTGAAATCAGAGGACCTTCTGTGTCCTTGTTAGGCATCCTGTTAAACATGTTATTATGGGACTAACATGGTCGACGTGGGGTCTGGAGTACATGTACATGAGTACCGTCAGTGTGTAGTTCGTCCATGTTATCCTCCTCTGCTAAGGTACCGTACCTGTTACGGGTAGGCACTGAATATACAGGGAAGTCGTCTCGCTTCCCTACATCATACCGTTTACCCCAGGCTGTTATACCTTCCCCCGACTGAGAGTCATAGGGCTGATCTGTGTGTTCGTAGGTCGAGTCTGCATTATCCTTGATGGCCGTGGCGCCGTTTGTCACGCGCGAGTCAGTGTCCATCTGTGTCGCGACTGTCAGTTGTTGCATACCTAACATGGGCAGTTGGTCGGGGCTACGTGTAGGGCTCGGTCGGCGCTGGTTAGTTGCTGCAGCCTGCGGTTGCTTACGGGAAGGAGGAGTAGGACTAGAACGGTTAGCCTGGTTAGTACTGTGGCGGGCTCTACAGTCAGCAGTATCATGTCCAGGTCGGCGGTGATATGTGCAATAAGAACGGGTGTGATTATGAGATTGGCCTGTCTTGTTATGTCTAGCATGCTGTTGGTAACGAGTGTTAGTTGATGTACACTCTGCCTTACGGTGGCCTTGTTTGCCACGGTTAAAACATTCTGGCGTTCGAGGTCGCTGAGGGTATTGAGGGGAGCCTGTCCTAGAGTATGACCTGGGGCCATACGAAGGCAGAGGAGACCTAGCACGAGTCTGAACACGTCTAGGGGTAGAATGCGTGACAACGTTCACAGTGGTATGGGAACTGTTTGCACGAAAAACGGCAGAAACCTGGTCAGAATCCTGGGACTTTAGCCTGTCTGTGGAATCTACCATGACGTCCATTAAGTCCCAAAGTGTGTGGGTAGGACCAAAATTCCTAGCCTCAATGATTTTCAGTATGGCCTCAGGGGCATGACTCTGCATGGCACCGAACGCCAATAGTTTACCCACATTCTGTATAGTGAGGCTTCCACTAGCGTCCCATCCAGAACCCATCAAGGCTTTCTCCAGTGAGTCCTGTAGCGTAGCTAGACGCGTTGCAAAAGCATTGCATGTTTCATCAGGACACATTACTGCAGTAGCTAATTGGCGAACAATGCCAAAGGGATCACGATCAACTACCGATATATATCTCCTATGAAAGAATTTCTTAAATTCTTCCCAGTTTACAATTTTCTTTAAGTCGGGTGTTCCTGCTACGAGATACACGTCTCCAGATTTATAGTCAAGTGTGGATGTCGCCATACTGACACAGTCCGCCTCTGTTACAGCAGTACCCTTGCTCTTCTCTCTAGCCTCTACACTAGCGAACCATGTCTCCAAGAGGGTTGGATCCTTTCCACTGAATGGGCGAATGTCAACAGACTGTGGAAGAACTGTGACGGTGTTCGAGTTAGAACCCGCAGTATTCGGGGTTTGAGTCATGATTACTGAGTCACTGCTGGTTGTAGAGGTTAATGAGGATAAGCTACCAAGAGCTGGGGGTGGGAGTTCACTGGCTAAGGATAAGTGAGCGAGCGTAGGGAGTTCACTAGTTAAGACTAAGTTACTCTCCGATAGTGAACGAGACCGTGGACTGAGGGGGTAAGTGCGCGAGCGAGGCCTGAGCGAGTATCGGCTATCCATAAAGTAAGTTTACATTGTGCCCACGTAAGTCCACAGTTTACTCTACTACTCAAATAACAAAGGGTACTTAACTAGAGCTGAAGGCTGCTGGGGCTGCAATCCGTTCAACGGGGCAGAGATGATCTGGTAGTCACAGGTCCGGCGTCATGCTGCGGCGTCGTCGGCGTCGTGCTGCGGCGTTGTGCTGCAGCGTTGTCGGCGTCGGGAGGCGGCAGGAGACGTCAGGTGCGGCAAAAGTCGTCAGGCGGCAGGAGACGTCAGGTCAGACAGCGGGAGGCGGGAAGGTGGCGTCAGGCAGGCTCCAAGGCTCGTTGAGTCATGGCGAGTCAGCTGGTGGCGCGCGGTGAGTCAGGGGCGTGCGCTGGGTGAGTCAGGCATGGACGTGCGCTGGATGAGTCAGGCACGGGGGCATGCTGGGTGAGTCATGCATGCTGATTGTTGCGATGCAGGCTGCTGTGCACTGCTGTGCTGCTGTGCGCTGCTGTGTGCTGCTGTGCTGCTGTGCGCTGCTGTGCACTGCTGTGTTGCTGTGCTACTGCGCTGCTGTGCTGCTGTGAGCTGCTGTGTGCTGCTGTGCTGCTGGAGTACAGCGGGTGAATCCCAGTAAGCTGCCACCAGTGTAACACCGGTTGATGTTGTTGTAGAATGATTAGGTTGTTGTTGACCGGGGATGGTCGAAGGTTACTCGGTCGTGGGCAGGAATCGGAGTACCAAACGTCCACTGCTTTTTCCTTAGTTTATTATAAAAATATATATCTTCTACACTGGGCCACGAACTAGCTTGGAGAGTGTGAGGGAGCGCGTGGTGACGCTCCGTCGCCCAGGGCTATCTCTGAAGGTCTTGAGAGCTGCAGGGCGCAGGGCAGAGTGTATTCAGATCTGCTGACAACGTTGTTGATACCTATTAAGGTGTTTAGCGCCGGCCATCATCAGAAGAGGGTATTAGGTCACCCTATGTGTGTGTCCATGGCACGTACACTGGCGCCTATGTCCAACGCCTCACGTGGCATCTATTGTTATGCGTCGTTGGCACTGTGCTCACTAGGCACTCGCCAAGGGATGCCGCAGTTTCAGAATGATAGTTCAATTGTCCTGGTTACTGGGAACTGCGGGCAGAGGTCCGCGGAAACATTATCTCCACACTGAGCCCCACGAGGTCTATGCATATAGGATTTAATGAGATTAATAATGCCCCCAAAAACCCAGGACAATTTAATTACAGAAACCAAGACAATTCGTCATTCATCTGAAGTTTCAGCATCTCTTAGCTAGTCCTTTGGGAGCGAAATCATAACAACATCTAATGATGGGCGCCTCTGAGACGCTCTGACAGATATATTAACGCAAGCTCCTCCAACAATGTTCAATGGCCTGAACATTGTTTACAGCATCTTGACAAAGTATGTAGCTTGCATTCGAAATTTTGATTATAATATACTAATACATATATTGAGTCTTTCCTTCACTTTCGTTATTATTTATATTATTATTATTACACAAGGAAATCACAGTAGCGTGAATTATAAAGGAGAAAACCAGTTAGAGTAGTGTGAGGATTTGAACCAGTGTCCTGGTTAATGCCAGGAGCACGCTTTACCCATAAGGCAATGACAGAACAAAAGCTATTCGACCTGGGACTCAAGTGAGTCCACTAAGAAAGTCTGGAGGTGCCAGGGTCTTGAATCAATGTTTTCTTGTCTAGTCTTATGACTGGATGGAATGTCTGACACGTCCTTCAGAAAGGCCTCTGCTGGGTTTTATCTGGGGTAAGAGTAACTTGCCGTTGTCTTCTTCAAGATTAAATAGATTTAAGAGTTTAATTATTGTTATTTATATTTTCCCTGCATTTCCCTAAGAAAATAAGCCAGCGTACAGTTATACGTTGGCAGTAACTTTGTGATGACACTACCCTGGGGCCCTCAGTAGTGTGTGATAACAATACCCTGGGGCCCTCAGTATCGTGTGATGACACTATCCTGGGGCCCTCAGTATCGTGTGATGACACTATCCTGGGGCCCTCAGTATCGTGTGATGACACTACCCTGGGGACCTCAGTATCGTGTGATGACACTACACTGGGGACCTCAGTATCGTGTGATGACACTACCCTGGGGACCTCAGTAGCATGTGATGACACTACCCTGGGGACTTCAGTAGTGTGTGATGACACTACCCTGGGGCCCTCAGTATCGTGTGATGACACTACCCTGGGGACCTCAGTATCGTGTGATGACACTACCCTGGGGACCTCAGTAGCATGTGATGACACTACCCTGGGGACCTCAGTAGCATGTGATGACACTACCCTGGGGACCTCAGTATCGTGTGATGACACTACCCAGGGGCCCTCAGTATCGTGTGATGACACTACCCTTGGGACATCAGTAGCATGTGATGACACTACCCTGGGGACCTCAGTATCGTGTGATGACACTACCCAGGGGCCCTCAGTATCGTGTGATGACACTACCTTGGGGACCTCAGTAGCATGTGATGACACTACCCTGGGGACCTCAGTATCGTGTGATGACACTACCCTGGGGACCTCAGTAGCGTGTGATGACACTACCCTGGGGACCTAAGTATCGTGTGATGACACTACCCTGGGGACCTCAGTAGCATGTGATGACACTACCCTGGGGACCTCAGTATCGTGTGATAACACTACCCTGGGGACCTCAGAAGCATGCGATGACAATACCCTGGGGCCCTCAGTAGCATGTGATGACACTACCCTGGGGACCTCAGTAGCATGTGATGACAATACCCTGGGGACCTCAGTAGCATGTGATGACACTACCCTGGGGACCTCAGTATCGTGTGATGACACTACCCTGGGGACCTCAGTAGCATGTGATGACAATACCCTGGGGACCTCAGTAGCATGTGATGACACTACCCTGGGGACCTCAGTATCGTGTGATGACACTACCCTGGGAACCTCAGTATCGTGTGATGACACTACCCTGGGGACCTCAGTAGCATGTGATGACAATACCCTGGAGACCTCAGTATCGTGTGATGACACTACCCTGGGGACCTCAGTATCGTGTGATGACACTACCCTGGGGCCCTCAGTATCGTGTGATGACACTACCCTGGGGACCTCAGTATCGTGTGATGACAATACCCTGGGGCCCTCAGTATCGTGTGATGACAATACCTTGGGGACCTCAGTAGCATGTAATGAAAATACCCTGGGGAAATCAGTATCGTGTGATGACACTACCCTGGGGACCTCAGTATCGTGTGATGACACTACCCTGGGGACCTCAGTAGCATGTGATGACAATACCCTGGGGACCTCAGTATCGTGTGATGACACTACCCTGGGGACCTCAGTATCGTGTGATGACACTACCCTGGGGCCTTCAGTATCGTGTGATGACACTACCCTGGGGACCTCAGTAGCATGTGATGACAATACCCTGGGGACCTCAGTATCGTGTGATGACACTACCCTGGGGACCTCAGTATCGTGTGATGATACTACCATGGGGACCTCAGTAGCAAGTGATGACAATACCCTGGGGACCTCAGTATCGTGTGATGACACTACCCTGGGGACCTCAGTATCGTGTGATGACACTACCCTGGGGCCCTCAGTATCGTGTGATGACACTACCCTGGGGACCTCAGTATCGTGTGATGACAATACCCTGGGGACCTCAGTATCGTGTGATGACACTACCCTGGGGCCCTCAGTAGCATGTGATGACACTACCCTGGGGCCCTCAGTAGCGTGTGATGACACTACCCTGGGGCCCTCAGTAGCATGTGATGACACTACCCTGGGGCCCTCAGTAGCATGTGATGACACTACCCTGGGGCCCTCAGTAGCGTGTGAAGACACTACCCTGGGGCCCTCAGTAGCGTGTGATGACACTACCCTGGGGCCCTCAGTAGCATGTGATGACACTACCCTGGGGCCCACAGTAGCATGTGATGACACTACCCTGGGGCCCTCAGTAGCATGTGATGACACTACCCTGGGGCCCTCAGTAGCGTGTGGTGACACTACCCTGGGGACCTCAGTTGTGTGTGATGACATTACCTTGGGGCCCTCATTAACGTGTGCTGAAACTACCCTGGGGCCCTCAGTAGCGTGTGATGACACTACCCTGGGGCCGTCAGTACCGTGTGATGACACTACCCTGGGGACCTCAGTAGCGTGTGATGACACTACCTTGGGGCCCTTAGTAGCGTGTGATGACACTACCCTGGGGCCCTCAGTAGCGTGTGATGACACTACCCTGGGGCCCTCAGTAGCGTGTGATGACACTACCCTGGGGCCCTCAGTAGCGTGTGATGACACTACCCTGGGGCCCTCAGTACCGTGTGATGACACTACCCTGGGGACCTCAGTAGCGTGTGATGACACTACCTTGGGGCCCTCAGTAGCGTGTGATGACACTACCTTGGGGCCCTCAGTACCGTGTAATGACACTACCTTGGGGCCCTCAGTACCGTGTGATGACACTACCCTGGGGCCCTCAGTAGCGTGTGGTGACACTACCCTGGGGCCCTCAGTACCGTGTGATGACACTACCCTGGGGCCCTCAGTAGCGTGTGATGACACTACCCTGGGGCCCTCAGTAGCGTGTGATGACACTACCCTGGGGCCCTCAGTAGCGTGTGGTGACACTACCCTGGGGACCTCAGTAGCGTGTGATGACACTACCCTGGGGCCCTCATTAGCGTGTGATGACACTACCCAGGGGCCCTCAGTAGCGTGTGATGACACTACCCTGGGGCCCTCAATAGCGTGTGGTGACACTACCCTGGGGCCCTCAGTAGCATGTGATGACACTACCCTGGGGCCCTCAGTAGCATGTGGTGACACTACCCTGGGGCCCTCAGTAGCACGTGATGACACTACCCTGGGGCCCTCAGTAGCGTGTGATGACACTACCCAGGGGCCCTCAGTAGCGTGTGATGACACTACCCTTGGGTCCTCAGTAGCGTGTGGTGACACTACCCAGGGGCCCTCAGTAATATCTGATGATACGACCCTGGGGCCCTAAGTAGCATGTGGTGACACTACCCTGGGGCCCTCAGTAGCATGTGATGACACTACCCTGGGGCCCTCAGTAGCGTGTGATGACACTACCCAGGGGCCCTCAGTAGCGTGTGATGACACTACCCAGGGGCCCTCAGTAGCGTGTGGTGACACTATCCTGGGGCCCTCAGTAGCGTGTGGTGACACTACCCTGGGGCCCTCAGTAATATCTGATGATACGACCCTGGGGCCCGCAATAGCGTGTGATGACACTACCATGTGGCCCTCAGTAGCATGTGATGACACTACCATGTGGCCCTCAGTAGCATGTGATGACACTACCATGTGGCCCTCAGTAGCATGTGATGACACTACCCTGGGGCCCTCAGTACCGTGTGATGACACTACCTTGGGGCCCTCAGTAGCGTGTGGTGACACTACCCTGGGGCCCTCAGTACCGTGTGATGACACTACCCTGGGGCCCTCAGTAGCGTGTGATGACACTACCCTGGGGCCCTCAGTAGCGTGTGATGACACTACCCTGGGGCCCTCAGTAGCGTGTGATGACACTACCCTGGGGCCCTCAGTACCGTGTGATGACACTACCCTGGGGCCCTCAGTAGCGTGTGATGACACTACCCTGGGGCCCTCAGTAGCGTGTGATGACACTACCCTGGGGCCCTCAGTAGCGTGTGATGACACTACCCTGGGGTCCTCAGTAGCATGTATTGAATGACACTACCCTGGGGCCCTCAGTAGCATGTATTGAATGACACTACCCTGGGGCCCTCAGTAGCGTGTGATGACACTACCCTGGGGCCCTCAGTAGCGTGTGATGACACTACCCTGGGGCCCTCAGTAGAATGTGATGACACTACCCTGGGGCCCTCAGTAGAATGTGATGACACTACCCTGGGTCTCTCAGTAGAATGTGATGACACTACCCTGGGGCCATCAGTATCGTGTGATGAAACTACCCTTGGGCCCTCAGTAGCATGTATTGAATGACACTACCCTGGGGCCCTCAGTATCGTATGATGACACTACCCAGGGGCCCTCAGTATCGTGTGGTGTCACTACCCTGATGCCCTCAGTAGTGTGTGATGAATCTACCCTGGGTCCCTCAGTAGAATGTGATGACACTACCATGTGGCCCTCAGTAGAGTGTGATGACTCTACCCTATGGCCACTCAGAAGCGTGTGACCACACTACCTTGGGGCCCTCAGTAGCGTGTGTCCACACTACCCAGTTGCCCCCAGTAGAGTGTGACCATACTACCCTGGGGCCCTTAATAGCGTGTGACCACCCTACCCAGGGACCCACAGTAGCGTTTGACAACACAACCCAGGGGCCCACAGTAGAGTGTGACCACACTACTCAGGGGCCCAAAATAGTGTGTGGCCACACTACCTAGGGGGCCTCAGTAGCATGTGATGACACTACCCTGGGGCCCTCAGTAGTGTGTGATGACACTACCCTGGGGCCCTCAGTAGTGTGTGATGACACTTCCCTGGGGTCCTCAGTAGCGTGTGACGACACAACCCTGGGGCCCTCAGTAGCGTGTGGCCACTCTACCCATGGGCCCTCGGTTGCGTGTGACCACACTACCCTTGGGCCCTCAGTAGTGTGTGATGACACTTCCCTGGGGCCCTCATTAGCGTGGGACCACACTACCCTGGGGCCCTCAGTAGCGTGTGACCACTCAACCCTTGGGCCCTCGGTTGCGTGTGACCACACTACCCAGGGTCCCTCAGTAGCGTGTGACCACACTACCCTGGGGCCCACAGTAGCGTGTGACCACACTACCTTGGGGCCCTCAGTAGCGTGTGACCACACTGCCCTTGGGCCCACAGTAGCGTGGGACCACACTACCATGGGGCCCACAGTAGCGTGGGACCACACTGCCCTGGGGCCCACAGTAGCGTGGGACCACACTACCCTGGGGCCCACAGTAGCGTGTGACCACACTACCCAGGGTCCCTCAGTAGCGTGAGACCACACTACCTATAGGCCCTCAGTAGCGTGTGACCACACTAACCTGGGGCTCTCAGTAGCATGTCACCACACTACCCTGGGCCCTCAGTAGCGTGTGACCACACTACCCTGGTCCCTCAGTAGCGTGTGACCAAACTACCCAGGGGCCCCCAGTAGAGTGTGACCACACTACCCTGGGGCCCTTAATAGCGTGTGACCACCCTACCCAGGGGCCCACAGTAGCGTTTGACCACACAACCGTGGGGCCCACAGTAGCGTGTGACCTCACTACCCAGGGGCCCACAGCAGTAGCGTGTGACCACACTACCCTGGGGCCCACAGTAGCGTGCGACCACACTACCCTGGGGCCCACAGTAGCGTGTGGCCACACTACCTAGGGGCCCTCAGTAGAGTGTGACCACACTACCCTGGGGGCCCTCAGTAGCGTGTGACCACACTACCCAGGGGCCCTCAGTAGAGTGTGACCACACTACCCTGGGGCCCTTAATAGCGTGTGACCACCCTACCCAGGGGCCCACAGTAGCGTTTGACCACACATCCCTGGGGCCCACAGTAGCGTTTGACCACACAACCCAGGAGTCCACAGTAGCGTGTGACAACATTACCAAGTGGCATACAGTAGCGTGTGGCCACACTACCTAGGGGCCCTCAGCAGAGTGTGACCACACTACCCATGGCCCTCAGTAGCGTGTGACCACACTACCCATGGCCCTCAGTAGCGTGTGACCACACTACCCAGGGGCCCTCAGTAGCGTGTGACCACACTACCCAGGGGCTCTCAGTAGCGTGTGACCACACTACCCTGGGGCCCTCAGTAGCGTGTGACCACACTACCCAGGGGCTCTCAGTAGCGTGTGACCACACTACCCTGGGGCCCTCAGTAGCGTGTGACCACACTACCCTGGGGGCCCTCAGTAGCGTGTGACCACACTACCCAGGGGCTCTCAGTACCGTGTGACCACACTACCCTGGGGGCCCTCAGTAGCGTGTGACCACACTACCCAGGGATCTCTCAGTAGCGTGTGACCACACTACCCAGGGATCTCTCAGTAGCGTGTGACCACACTACCCTGGGGCCCTCAGTAGCGTGTGACCACACTACCCAGGGGCTCTCAGTAGCGTGTGACCACACTACCCTGGGGGCCCTCAGTAGCGTGTCACCACACTACCCTGGGGCTCTCAGTAGCGTGTGATCACACTTCCCTGGGGCCCTCAGTAGCGTGTGACCACACTACCCTGGGGCCCTCAGTAGCGTGTGAGCACACTACCCTGGGCCCTCAGTGGCGTGTGACCACACTCCCCTGGGGCCCTCAGTAGCGTGTGACCACACTACCCTGGGGGCCCTCAGTAGCGTGTGACCACACTACCCTGGGGCCATCAGTAGCGTGTGACCACACTACCCTGGGCCCTCAGTGGCGTGTGACCACACTCCCCTGGGGCCCTCAGTAGCGTGTGATCACACTACCCTGGGGCCCTCAGTAGTGTGTGACCACACTACCCTGAGGCCCTCAGTAGCGTGTGGCCACACCACCAAGGGGCCCTCAGTAGAGTGTGACCACCCTACCCTGGGGCCCTCA